TCTCAACCTTCTTTTACCAAACTTTCAAAACAAAAATAAGCCTCATCTCGATTATCACCATTGACAATTAAGTAGTAAGGATTAAGATTCTTGTCTTCTAGTTTTTTAATTTCAAAATTATTTAATTTAATAGTTGCCATTGTATTCATTCAGTATATTATTATTTTATTATTATTTTTAAGTTAGCAGTTAGGTTATTGCTTAACTTTATTTTTATTAGGTTTTCACCTAGTTTATTAAGTGGATTAGACTCCGATAGTTGACCCTTTTGACAGGGAACATCTAATTTTTCCAATTCAGCCGAAATTTCTTTAAACCCAATCGAACCGAATGGTTTACCTTCCTCATTTTTTTTAAGGGTAAAGAACAAAGCAGTATTATTAATTTTATCATATATTTTTTTAGCTCTTTCTTCCATCATTAAATCTTCTTGGCTTTTTTTGGCTTTTTTTCCTTCTAATCAAGCACGGTTTTTTTCATTAGCCAACAAAACTTCTTTTTGAAGCAATAAATAAACTGCAAATCCCCGCCGCACTTCTTTTATTTCATATTTTTCTCCTCATTGATTTTTGTTTAAAAAAATAACTTTTTCGGTTTTTTTCATTTTCTTATAATTTTTTTGATCGTTTCCGCAATTTATAACGGTCAACTGCCGGTTGGAACAGATTTCCTAAAATGCTTACTAAAGCCAAACTACCCACCAGAACTAGGGGAACAATGGGAGAAATTTTTAAACTTCCTAGGGAGAAAATTTTCATCCGATATCAAGGAACCGAGTTTTTTGATTGAGAACTTCCACTTTCTTCTAAACCTGGAAAAACAAAGGCACTAGTAATCGTTACAATAATCACTAATAAGATTCCACCTAATCATCACTTAATTCAAAAACTTTTGTTGGCGGCAATTTCGGCTTGCCATTGGTCGTAGCACCAGGCACACTGTGCTCAACTTTCGGAGGCATGAGTGCTACCGTAAGTTCCTCCATAACCTCCGGCTTGATAATCACCAAAACTCTTTCCTCCATAAACCCCTTTGGTGTGACCAGAACTTTGACTTTTGGAACTAGTGTAAATTGGTTGGCCTTCATAGATTGGTGTACGACAAGTTTGACAACTGTTTATAATTCTTCTTTCTTGGGCGTTTAGCATATGTTATTATTTTTTAATTTCTTCGCCTTGTTCAACTATGGTGTAAGGCAAAAGTGCCATTTGACGAGCTCTTTTGATGGCTTTGGTTAATTGACGCTGAGTTTTGGCTACTAATTGGGTATTTTGGTGATGACTAATTCGTCCTTGTCTATTAATAAACTTACGTAAAGTAACTACATCTTTGTAATCAATGTAGGAAATTCCTTGACTTAGAAAATAGTCCGTTTTGGGACTAATTTTTCTTTTTTTGCCTTTCTTTGTTTTAACTTTATCTGAACTATTATTCGCCATTCCTTAATGTTTTTCTTGGTTATCAACTTTTCTTTCCTCCTTGGGTTTAGTAAAGTCAATCACTTTTAATTTAGTTTCTCCAATTACACGTGGAAATTCAGCCAGCGAATAAAAATCAGAAGTTAAGTCGCTGTCAATTAAAGTAAAGGCTTGGACAATAATGTGGGAAGGCCGAGATACTTCAGTCCTTTCTTCTCCCTCTTTCCAAACCTTATTAGTTACAATTTTAGTTTGTAAAGAACCTTCTAAGAGAATAATATCATGTTCTTTTAACCGCTCTTTAACTTTAGCTAATATTCCTGCTACTTTTTCTTCATCTACCACACAAAAATAAAGCGGAGGAACACTCTTGTCGAAGAATTTCTGAGAACCTACTTCGCGAGGAACAGAGATTCTGAAACTTATCGTTCCTTGATTATCATCTTGACTGTTAAAAATATTTATTTTGCCAATTAGTCGCAGATAATTAGAATTTTTTCGATCAATTTGTTCAAAACTTATATCCAACTTATTAACTTCTCGGACATTAATGATTATTTGTCGACCTTTAATTTCATTACGCAAGTAACCTCGCACTTCAATTATATCTTTCTCCACCATTGCTTGCTCGATTTTTTCTACCACCTCGGGCTTGGTGGCGAGACAGCGCAAAATAGTTTCTGAATTATTGTTAGGTCTAGGAACTTTTAAATTAAAATAAATAATCTTTTCTTTCCTTTCTCCATCCTTGTTATCTCTTTCTTTTATTTGGGGTGGCAAAAATTCGCCTATTACTTTAATTTTATTTAACATCTTTATTTGGTTGCAACTTGTCAGTTTTCTTCATTAATTTAATTTTATTCCTTTTTTCATCAGTTAAGTTAAGTAATTCATAACGATTAAGGACTTCCTTAGCAACAGGTTGAAGAATATTTTTTTTTAATTCTTCGGTTTTTTTCCTTTCTGAGTTGAAATAAATGAGAACATAACTTCCCTGACCTAAATTCTTAACTTTTTCAGCAGGCTTTCAATCTTTTTCTTCTACTTTTACATTTTCTTTTCCCATTACTTCTTCAATACTAGCAATCATTTTTTCGTATTTTTCCTTATTTTTCTCCTTTTCATTAAAGAGACAAAGCAATTCGTAATGGCAATTTACTTTTTTTTTCGTCATAGAAACATCTATAATTTATTTTACATTACTTGGACAAACTAATACCTGAGCTTATCACCTACAAAATATTATTAATATATATCTTATTCGGAATGTCCTCTTCTTCCACTGTATTTACTAAACCGGTTCTTAAAACGAAAAAACCAAGCAAAATAAAACTACTCTTTTTAGTCTTGGGGAGAGTTATTAAAAATAATCCCTTACTATTTCTTTTCTGTTCCTTATTGGCAGTAATTACGGCGGTGATTAACTTTAATATTGGAGTTAATGTAAAAAATTTAGTACTCCATAAAGAAAAAACTCTGAGCGAACAGGTTATTAAAGAAATAGAAAGGGAAGGAGGAGAAGAAAAAAAAGGCCTTGACATTCAAAAAGAAAGGATCAGAGAAATATTAAAAATAAACACTGACGCAACCAATCAAAGGCAAAAAGAAGTCAAAGAAAATATTGAAAACGAAATCAAAGGGAATGGTTCCTTAAAAAAAGAGGAAATTAAAGAAATAATTGAAAAGGCTAGTGTAGGAGGACGGAGAATTGATCAATTGACTGATTTCGAATTTGAGTTTAATTTCTTTGGCTTACACTGATTTAAAACCGATAAGTTAACTATTTGGGGATTTATTACTTATTCATTAATTCTCATTTTTGTGGTGAAAGCTCTTTTTTCCGTGCTTCATTACTACTGAATGAATTATGCTTATGATAGCGTAGAACGAGAATTAAAAAAGGATTTATTTCGTCATTTGGTGCGGGCTAAATATACTAATTCTTCCGAAGTTTCTCGGAATTTAATTACCCAATTTACGGATGATTTGGATGAAATTGCATATAGTATCTGGTTTATTCCTAACCGTTTAATTTATGTAGCCTTCACTATATTTTTCTTACTTACTTTTGACTTTAATTTTGGGGGAAAAGGAACTATCCTGCCACTCTTGGCCATTTTGTTAGGGTTGTTTGTGGTATTGTTGGTGGTGGAAATGATGCTCTTTAAAAGAGCCAGCAAATTAAATCTAGCGGCCAAAAAAAGGCAAGAAGAGGACAATAAAATCATTTACGAACGAATTAATAATTTAGAGTATATTAAGGCAGTGTCAGGGGAAAGTTATGAAGAGAAAAAAGTTGGTCGGCAGTTGGACTCAACTTTTCGCCAGAACAAAAAATCACTCTGGTATAGCACAATGTTTAAGGCAATTCCTCAATATGTAATTATTCCGAATATTCCCATTATTTTTATGGCCTCGACTCTCGTTTTTTACTCCTCAAATCCAAAAATGGGTTCAGTGTTCTTAACTGCTAATTTTGTTCGATACTTTTTTTCAGTAAGAAATTTAAATAATGAAGTTAATAAAATAATTGAGGCCATGCTGACTTTGGATGAACTTTCCAGTAGCCTAACCATTGTGAATGAGAGTGCCAAAACTTTAAATCGTCGAGTTATTCCGGCTGAGCCAAGCACTCCTGTTCCAAGGCTTCCGTTCCAGAATGGTGATTTAATTTTTCAAGGGGTAGTGTTTGCCTATCCCAAACGACCCCAACAAGATATTTTGCGAAATTTTTCTTTCACTTTTCAGCAAGGAAATATCTATGGCATTGCGGGAAAAAATGGGATTGGGAAAAGCACTATCACCAAAACCACTCTCAAACTTTATGAACTAAAAAAGGGGCAGATTTTTATCGGAGAACATAATATCCGTGAAATAGATACGATTAACCTCCACCAACACATTTGCTACCAGACTAACCGCCCGACCTTTTTTCGAATGAGTATCGCCGAAAATGTTTGTTATCCTAATCAATACGACCAAAAAGACTATGATAAATTAGTGCGAGCGGCTAAAAAAGTTGGCATTTACGAATTTATTACTAAACTGCCGCAGGGATTTAATACCGTTTTAAGGGAGGGGGGGAGTGACCTTTCCGAAGGACAGAAACAACAAATTTCAGCCATCAAAATGTTTATTAATGATTATGATATTTACATTTTAGATGAGATATTAAGTAATGTTCACCCGAATTTGAAAGGAGTGATTTTAGATAACATTTTTGCAAGGTTGAAAGGCAAAACAGTGCTGGTAATTGACCACCATTACGAAATATTTCAATATGTTAACTACATTTACCAATTTACGGGGGAAAAATTAATTAGAAAAGATAAACAAGAGTTTTTAGAAAATAATTAAGCACCAAAAAATATGAACCTTAGGTAAATAATGTAAAATAAAAAATTTAGAAAATAATTTATATAAGTATTATGACAGAAAAAAAAGTACTTGCTCAGCAAATTAAGGCTGATTTAGCAAAAGATTTAGAAGAAACCAAAAAAGAGGGTACAATAAGGTTAACCTACGTTGCTAGACCATGAGGTGGATGTGGCGTTCCTTGCGGAGAGGAGGGTTATATTGTTTTAGTTTCTCCCACTGCTCCGGAAAATAAAGGTAAACGTGATTTAATTGCTCCAAACGAATTAGAAAAGGAAGATTATGAGGAAATACTAAGTTTAATGGAAACAATTCGCACGACAGCAACCAAGGTTAGCGAACAAAAAAAACAAGCGGAAGAAGCCGAATTAGACCAAAAACTCCAAAGTGAAAAAAATATGTTTTTTTATGATGGAGAAGTAGATTGAGGAGATTATAGTGATCACCATAGATTTTTTGGATGGCAAAACAATCAAAGGTTTAACTTACTTCTTAAAGAAAACCATCCTTCAATAGCAAACTTATCGAGGTGAAAAAGTGAGGGAGGGATTTTTTGCCTGATCGAAGGATCCGAAAATGTGCCATTTGAACAAAAATCGTCTGGATCATTGCCTTGTAAGTTAGTAAAATCATCAGATAAAATTACCATTACTCCGGTTGATAATAGTCCTTATATAAAAAGGCTTCAAGGGCAAAAGTCCTATAGCGAGAAATATTTAGAGAAAACCCAAAAAGAAAGTCCGGACAAGGTTGAAGAAATTGCCACTAATAAAAAACACATCAAGGAGTATGAGGAGAAAATCCAAGAGGAAAAAAAATGATTAACTGAGCATGATAATAAATTGCCTACTCCTTCTAAAAAACGAAATAAACCAACTGATAAACTTACTAACCTCCTACTAGGAGAATTGAACAATAAAAATTTACTTCAATATTTTCAAAATAATAATGTTAAATCAATTAAATTAGATAATAATAACCTAGTAATTGAATATAATGACAAACAAGCAAAAGAAACTAAAGCACTAAATAACCAAGAATGAGAATGAATAAAATCTCTTATTGAAAAGTTAGGCAAAAGTGAATTATCTTTAAGTGATTTAGAGCAAAATAATAATTCAATTAATACTCCTAACTCTAATAAAGGAATTTATATTGGTTTAGCAGTAGCGGGAATGATAGCGGTGGGAATAATTGCTTTCTTGTTAGTAAGGAAAAACAAAACTAAAAAGCATTAATTTCCTTTCACCATTTGCATTATAATTAAAACCACTATTAAAATAATAATTGAAGAAATAATGGCGTAGAAAATGTAAAGTGGAAGCATGTTATTGCATCCTCCTTGACTTATTTTAAATGTATTACGACTTTCCATAATTAAGTTTTAATTCTCTTTTGATGATAGTGATTTTTTTCTCGGCCAAACTTTTCAGATATTCATTATTCTTTTTGAGTATCTCGCTAATTTTAGGAAGATAAATATTATAATTTTTTTGAATTAGAGTTAATTTTTCATTTACTATTTCAGCAACTTTTTCTTTAAATTGAGAATAATTTAGTTTATTCATTTCTTTTTCTACTTCTCTTATTTCTTTATTTTGCAGGAGGGCACCAATGGTTAAAAGATTAGAAATTCATTTTTTATTTTCTTGATCAGGGGCATAATAAACTTTGCCCTCACTGTCAGTTTTGGCTTTTTTAAATTTTTCTTTTACTACTTCAGACGCCTCTAAAAGTCCAATGTAGTCATTTTCACTTTTACTCATTTTTTTGGTTGGGTCTTTTAGTCCCATAATTTTTGCCCCCAAGTTAGGAATAGTAAATTCTGGGATTTTTAATAATTCTTTTTCATAAAAATTATTGAACTTTTGGGCAATATCAGTGGCTAATTCGAGGTGCTGTTTCTGATCCTGTCCGACAATTATCAAATCTGAATCATAGAGAAAAATATCTGCGGCCTGTAAAACCGGATAGGCTAATAAGGCTAAATTACCAGTTTCTTGCTCTTTTTTTTTTTCTTTGTATTGAATCATGTTGTTTAATTCACTAATGGTTACAAAAGGAGCTAGTAATCAGGCTAAATCAAGATGTTCCTTAACTTGCGATTGAATAAAGATTTTGCAATTTTGGTTAAGACCGCAAGCATATAAAAGGGCTACTATTTCCTGACTTTTTTGCGAATAATCGAAGTCTTTTTTAGGAACTGTTAAAGCATGTAAATCAGCAATCATAATAATTACTTCATAATCTTCTTGCAGGGCTAAAATAGGCTGAATTGCCCCACAATAATTTCCTAAGGTGAGGGTTCCGGTAGGTTGTAGACCAGTAAAAAAACGTGGTTTAGACATATTTATTATTTTGGGAGTTGACTGCCTTCTAATGTCAAATTCTGTTTTTTAATTCAGAAATATTCCCAGAGCAGAAAAGTATTAAAAATCGTTCTTTTGGAAATGTTTGGGAAGAGAATGTTTTACCGGCAAGTAAAAGAAAACTCCCACATCAAAAACCCAAAAAACTAATAAAGTTTAAAGAGAACAGAATTTAGTATAATTTTACTTGGTTTTTTTTGCTTCTCTCGCGCAATGTATTCATTATCTAATTAGATATTTATAAATTAAATATGTCTAGGGAAAAAGAGTAATTATTTACCCTGAATTGTTAGAAATTCCCCACTTCTTATAAGGCTCACAAATGCTATATTTTACTTTAATTTAGAATTAGTCCGATAAACAGAACAGTGCGGGCAAAGATGGTGAAGTATTTTCGTTTTTTGACAACTAACACACTTAATTAAGGGTTGATGGAGAGCCTTTTGGTGAAAACTTCAACTTTTTGGTCCGCGACCTTTTTTAATTCTAGTAGAGGATTTTCTTCGTGCTGGAACTGCCATAATATTTATATTTTATATTTTTGCTTTATTTTTCGCTCTTTTTTTTCAAAAACTTTCTTGATTTTCTTTGGGTTGGCTCACGAAAGTGGAACATTCGAGGGCATTTTTTACAATAATGACGTTCGAAATCACTCGACTTGTCGGGTTCAATTATTTCGTAGACTATTTTTTTGAGTTCGCTATTACAATATTTACAATACTTTATTTTTTCTAAAACCATATTTATTATATAATTAATTTATGACGATTTATTTACGAGCATCGTCCAAATCTCCATCCTCCTCTTCTTTTTCTATTCATTCCTTCACTTCTTTCCTCAATTTGGCAATTATTTCAACATTAATTTTTCCTTCTTTGAAACCTTCCTCAATTGTCTTGTTATAAGCATTAAGAACTTTAATTTGTTCATCAGTTTTTTCTCTTTCGCTAGGGAGAGTTCCAATTCCAGATTTTTCTCGCAAACTATTGATTTCCAATTCTCTCTTTCAAAAGTCTCATCAAAGAATTAATTGATTTTCCAGTTTTTCCAATCTTTGTCATTCTTTATCAAACCATTTTTGATTTTCTTCGCTTTGCCTTTGCAATTCTTTAAACTTATTAGTAAAATTCCGCTCAATCTCTTTCTTTTTTTTAGACATATCTTTTAGGAGTTCTTTGAGGTTTTTTAGATTTTTCACCACCTCCTTTAAGCCGAACTCCTTGGTAGTTTTTTTTTTACCTGATTCTAATATGCTCATATACTATTTTTACACTTTTTAATGACTTATCAAAATCACTAATTTTTTTTTGCTAATTTTTTCAATTTTTTGCCGAAATTCTTTTTTATTATTTTCATCCAAAGCATTATCGGCTTCATCAAAAATGAAGATCTCTTTATTTTCGCTGGTAGCAAAAATCTGGTTTAAATCGGCTAATTGTTTTTGTCCGGTTGACAAACCATTTTCAATTAAATTTTCATGCTCGGCATAAGCAATTTTTTCTCGTCATTTTATTAGGTTCAATTCACTTAATTTATGTTTATCATTGATAATTATTTCTCCCTGTTTAGGTTGATGTAGACCCATAATTAAACTCATTATCGTGCTCTTACCCGAACCATTTTCTCCCGTTAAGTGGTTAACTTTGCCTTTTTGGAATTGTCAGTCTAATTTTTTCAGAATAGGTTTATTTTCTTCATAACCAAAGGAAACTTGGCGGAGGGTGATATTTTTAACTGACTCCTCAATAATAATATCTTTTTGAATATCATTTCTTTCTGGTTGGGCGAGGAAATTATTGATTTGTTTTTGAGCGGAAAGTCCAAAGGGATAAAATCTTAATCTTTCAGTCATTTTTTTAGTTGAGTCGGCTAGACCCACCAAATTATTGGCGGCTCGTCCGCTGGCTTCATTTTTTATAAAACGCAAAAAGAGGAAAGGGGCAAACTTCGGCAAAGAAAAGGAAGGAACTACAAAAGACAGAGTAAACATTCAGTCCCGTTTATTCTCAAACTTCTGAGAATTAACCAAGGAATTATTATAATTAGCACCATAAGTGGAAGATAAGTTTTTTTTAATAATTAAATCACGGTTATTGACCAAAAATTTCTCTTTTTCGGTTTCTTTTTCTAAAGGTTTTTGGAAAGCTAAATCTTTTTTGTAATGTAAGTATTGGAAAACCATAATTATTGTGGTGCAAAGTAGAAAAAAAGCAATCCCTAAGACTATCATGGTAGAACCTACTTCTTTTTTGTCTCGAAAGATACTAACAAAAACTAATGAGACATCTAATAGTCAATAATATAATTGATTAGGAATATAGATCACTAAGGAACTAAAAGTACGAATATTGTGGGTTAAAATGGAGAGAGTTTGCTTTTTGTCTTGGGGAGTTTTTAAATTGAAAAGTTTTTTGGTCACTTTCTTTTTTACTTTTCCAGTAATTTTATTAGCAAAATGATAACCATAATAAACATGAGCGACCACTATCGCACAATAAATTACTATGATCAACGACATAACTGCCACAAAACTTTTTCAGTTTTCACCAAACTTAATATTTCACTCTTCTAAATGAAAAAAACTAAAATCTCATTTTAATTCAAAGGTCGCTTTTCCTCCCTCTTTGAGCGAATCGTAAACCGCCTTATAACCATTACTAGCCAGTAAATAGCTTCCTAAACAACTCAAAGTAGTTAACAAATAAAAAATGATGGTTTCTTTTCGATAAATATTGGTGATAGTAAATCAGTTTAATTTGGTGGGTTTTTTATTGTTTTTCTTTTCCATATTTATTTTGTAATAATAATTCCTGATTATCAATTAATTATTAGAAAATAGAGCGCCAGCAGAAAATAAACTATACTTGCGATTAGAAAAATTATTCCTATTCCTTCGGTTCTTTGCTTCTCAGTTAAAACGGTAAAATAATTAGCCACCGTAAAAAAACAAGGCAAAAACGCTAAGGCCTTAAAAACTACTTTTCCAATATTATTAATTCATTTCATAATTTAATTTGTTTTTAATTGTTCGAACTACTTCGGCTAAACCATTCTCTTTAACGGTCAAAATATAATCAAACTCAACAGCAAATTTTCCTTCTTTTTCTTCAATAATTAATCTCCGAATAATTTCTGGTTCACTAGTGCCTCTTTTTTTCATATGTTCGATCATTTTTTCTCTGCTTTCAGCCTCGAATCAATAAGAAATGGCCTGATAACCTTTGGCTTGACAGTATTTTTTAATTTGTCGAAAGCCATCCACATCCACAATAATTACTCCGTTTTTCTTTTGAGTTCCTAAAATTAGATCGATCACTTTACCATGCACTCCATAATAATTACCATCGTAAATAACATGCTCTAAAAACCGGCCTTTTGCTAATTCTACTTCAAATTCTGCTTTGCTAATAAAATAGTAGTCTTGGCCATCTACTTCTCCCGCTCGTGGTGGTCGAGTAGTAGTTGAAACTAATTTAGTAATATTGGGGCTTTGAGCCAGTAAATTTTCGATAGTAGTTTTACCAGTGCCACTACCTCCGGCAATAATTATTAGCGCATTTTTATCTTTATTTATGTTTGGTTTACTTACTGGCTGATAATGAAAACGACAATAGGAACCATATTTTTCACTTCCTCCCACAAAATCTTCTGGTTTTTTTGGTAATCAATTTAGTTTTCAGCGTTGTTTGGTGCTTCTCTCGGGGCAATTTTTGATATCACATTTCCCAAATAGTCTAACCGGATATTCAGCAGTCGCCACCAAATGGGCTACTGACAAAAAGGGTTTATCGGCAAAACAATCCCAAGTTAAACCAGCCCCCACAATTTCTTTATTTTGGTTGGCCAGTTCATTCAAATAACGGTTAACCTCGCCTCCTTGGTCGTTCCTTGAAAAAAAATGTAGTTCATCAATATAAGCACTGTCGAATCGTTCTTTATATTTATCTATTTCCTGAATAGTAGTAATGGGAATGGCCTTAATACTTTCTTGGTCGTGAGAAACTATTTCGGTTTCACTATACCTAGTATCCAAAGTTGGTTTAAAAGCTAAACATTTTCGATAATTTTTATTTTGATTATATTTAGCGATTAGCAAGCCAGTTTTGCCCGAAAACATATTTCCAGTGATGACCGTAATTGACCCAATTTTATGATTTTTTTTACTATTTATTTCTTCCATATTTTTTTATTTTTAATTTGCTTTGATTAGTCCACAAGGAGTGAATTTATATGTTTCATCTGCATATTGTGAGGTTTCTCTATCATGACTGATTACGATAATTGTCTTGTTTTTTAATTTTTGGAAAATAAACTTTAATATCTTTTCTTTTAATTCATTATTGACATTACTCAAAAACTCATCAAAAAGGTAAATTTCATAATCTCTAATTAAAGCTCGCATCAAACTGACTAGTTGCTTTTGTCCTTCGGATAAATTTTGTCCTTTTTCGGCAATCATAGTTTTTCAACGCTTTGGTAGTCCATCAATAAATTCTTTAATTTCTAACTTTTGGGCAATTTGTTCTAATTTTTCTTGGTGAATATTTTCTTGATAAACTTCCGGGTAAACTATATTATCACCTAAACTGGTATTAAAAAAGGAAGGACTGTTTGGTAAGTAAACCATTTTTTCCCTTAGGTTAGAATTATCAATTTTTTTTAGTTCGATATTATTTAATTCAATAACTCCTTTTTGGGGCTGATAGAGTTTCAGCATTAGTTTAAATAAAGTGCTTTTCCCAATCCCATTCGAACCAATAATCACATATTTTTTTCCTTGTTGGAAACTAAAAGAAAAATTATCTAATATTTTTTTGTTTGTTTCTAGATAAGCAAAGTTAACCTTTTGAAAGGCAATATCAACTTTTTTAATTGGTAAATAGTTAATAGTAGGAGAAGAAATCTGGTTCCTTTCTAAATTAGCAAAAGTCTCATTTAGTCTTTTACAACTGGAACTATAACTTTCATAACCTCCATAGGCTCAAAACATTTCAAAAATAGTTTTACAAGCATCAAACATACTGGATAATTTAGCATACAAAATTGCTCCGCTTACTTGTCCACTCATAACTAAAAAAAGAAAAGGGATAAAACGAACTAAAATATAACTTGGAATAGTAGCATAAATACTTTTAGTAGCCACAAAAGCATAATTTTTTCGTAAATTACTAGCAAATTGTTGATTGCTTTTCTTAATTTCTTGATTCTCGGTTCCAGTAGTTTTAACATACTCAACATTATCCTTTAATTCTTTAAAACGCTTATTTTCCTTTTCAAATTCTCGGTCTCTTTTTAACTTATATCGGTAAGAAATATAATACAAAACTGGAACTAAAATTGCTAAGATTGCTAAGGCTCCGAAACACCAAGGAATCACTCAACTTTCTTTTGAACTTTGGCTCAAACCTCATAACAAAAGAACAATTGAACAAACCGAATAAAAACTGCGATTAAAAATTCCTACTGCTAGCCTTCCCACGGTGGCTGCATCATTGTCAAAACGCGATAGAATAAACTCCTCTTTTTGGACTTGGGTAAAATTAGCCGATAAAAACTTTTTAGTTAACTTTTTCCGTAAATGAGCGGTGTAAACTTCTTCCAAGTAAACACCAAGCAAAATATGCAAGTAAACGGTTATTCCATAGATAATTAATCGCAAAAGAAAACCGCCTACATTAGCCTTTAAGGTTTCTACTCCGCCTTTTTTTAAAGCATCACCAAGATAGCCAAAAATTAACTGAGTTGAACCATAAGCACTAAATAAAGCAAAACCATAATGGGTTAAGGAAAGCAAAGGAAACTTTTTAAATAAATAAAAAAGATTGATATTGGTTTTCTTTTTTTTAACTTTACTTCCTTTTTTGAATATATTTTTATTTTTGGTTGAATTATGTTGGTTATTTGGCATATTTTTTTGATTTTTTTATTCTTTCTCAGTAAAATTGGTAAGGTTGTTGTTTTTCGTTATTTTCAGGAGAATGATAACTCATAAACTTAATCTCAAAAATTTTTCCTTCCTCTTTAATTTTCAGTTCTCCCGAGTATTGATTGACTTGAAAATAATAGCCTTTTCAGTGTTGTTTATCTTTTGGCAAATTGGCATAAAAGATATTTTCTTCCATAATTTTTTCCAGATTTTCCACTACTAAATTAGTTTCTTCGAACAGTTCCCTTTTGGCGGCTAATTCCGGAGTTTCTCCTGGCTCTATTTTGCCACCCGGAAAGTTCCAACCTCACTTATCTTTTACCACCAAAAATTCTCCTTTTTTATTTTGGATAACTACCCGAACATATTGAGGTAAAACAACTTCTTTGTTTGGCAAATAAACTTGCTTGATTATGTCCTGCACCTCAGTTAAAATTGCTTCCTCTGTTTGATCAGCCTTAACAAGATGAATTCTTTCCGGAAAGTATTTTTTTAATTCTAAATAATGATTTCTAATTCGGTGGTGAAATTCCAACTTCAAATTATCTCAATTAGTATACTCGCCAGTGGCTAATTTCCTTTTTTTTAACCTTTCTTGAGCTTGTTGGGGGTCAATATCTAAGACAAAAGTAATGTCAGGCAAAGGCAAGTCGATAGTTTTTTTAGCAACTTCTTGGATGATATTAACTCCTAATTTTCCCTCTAAACCTTGATAAACCAAAGTGCTATCAATATATCGATCAATAATTACTATTTTATTTTCTCGTAAACTGGGTTCAATTATTTTTTGGTTTAATTCATCAAAAGCCGAAAAAATGAGAAAAATATAAGTTCAAGTGCTTGGTAAACTCTTTTTTCCTTCGGCACGGCTTTCATTAAGCAAATGTCAAATTTTTTGCCCTAATTCGGTGTCTCGTCAGTTATGGGTTATTAGTTCTAATTCACCACTTTTTTTTAGATTATTAATCAAGGTAGTTTTACCACTCCCATCTATTCCTTCGAGGGTGATTAGCAATGACATATAAATTAATTTTAAGAAGAAGCAAAAAGTTACTGTTGAGCCGAAAATGAGGAAATAAAGAAGGTTAATAATTGCTTAATTTTTTCAATTTTTTTGTTGTGATTAAGAAGAAAAACGAAATTTTTTTTAGTCAAGTTTTTTATGGACATTTTTTTTACTTAAATTCTATTTTGGATTCATAAAAAAGAAAAAATTAATTAATTCATGATAATCCTTGCCCTAGAAACTAGTTGTGATGAAACTAGTATCGCCATTTTAGAAAATAAAAAAATACTCAGCAATATTACTATTTCCCAAATTCTAGAACAACAAAAATATGGGGGGGTAATGCCAAACCTAGCGGCTAAATTGCATCTCAAAAATATCCAACAAGTTCTCTTGCAAGCCTTAGCCGAAGCCAAAATCTCCCCCGAAAAAATTGACTATATTGCCTATACGGAAAAACCTGGACTAATCATTTGTCTTCAAATTGGTAAAATAGTGGCTGAAACTCTTTCTCTCTATTTAAATAAACCACTTATGCCTATTAATCATTTGGAAGGTCATGTTTATGCTAGTTTAATAGATCAACAAGCAGAATGAGAATTTCCGGCTTTGGCACTAATTGTCAGTGGTGGTCATACCCAAATTTACCAGTTAAATAATTACTTGGAGTTTATTCTTTTAGGTGAAACCTTGGATGATGCCATTGGCGAATGCCTAGATAAATCCGCTATTTTGTTAGGATATAATTATCCAGGCGGTCCAATTATTGAAAAACTGGCCTCGGCAGGAAAAAATGTTTACCAATTACCTTTTCCAAAAAATGACAACAGTCTCGATTTTAGTTTTAGTGGTCTAAAAAGTGAAATTAGTCGGTTAGTAAACCAGGAAGGAAAAAACCTAAATGTTAACAACCTAGCTTGTTCTTTACAAAATATTCTGGCTGAAATACTAACCAAAAAACTAAAAAGAGCCTGGATGATTACCCGCTCTAAAACCATTATTGTGGGCGGAGGAGTAATTGCTAACCAATTCTTACGTAATTATTTAACTAAAAATATAAAAAAGTGAGATAGAGAGATAAAAATATTTATTCCAGAAATTAAATACTCAACTGATAATGCTGCTATGATTGGAATATCGGCTTATTATAAAATTAACCTAAAATCTTAACTAAGTTGATCACTAACCCTGATTTTAACGTTTTCCTCAATAAACTTAGTTAATAAAAGATGAAGTTTTTGAGAAAGTTGTTCCTTTGTTGTTATAAGATATTCGTAAAATTGAAGTAAGTAATAACTAAGTTGATCATTGTCTTTAATATAATTTTCTGGCTTGTTGACTAATTCTAAAAAAGGGTTATTTACACTATTAGGTAATTTTTTTAGTTGTTGATGCTCTCAATTGTCGCGAACATCAATGATTAAAGCTTTTTGTTTTATCTTTTCGAAATCTGACTTAGTGATAGTTTTCATGATTCTGAACCTTACTATATTAGTTTTTTTACTTATAATTAATTCAAAGGATATCAAAGCAAAAAAACCGAGTAGTTATGGTTGTCTAACTCATATATTACTTTTAAGACCAAGAGGAAATTATATATAATTTCTCTCCCACTTGAATACGAGGGAGGAGGGTTTCTTGCTGGTTTAGGCTAAAATTAATAAATATGGATAAAGATAATAAGAATTGAACAGAAACATTTGCTAAATACATTTATGATTTTTTCGGAAAAATTTTTATTCCTTTTACCACTCCTTTTTTTGCACTTTATAATTGTTTTAAATTAATGAGTGGGGTTGAAAATGAATACTTGAAGATATTGATATTTGTAGTTAGCATGATTTATGTAATAATGTCACTAGTTTTGGCTATTTATGTGGTTATTATTAAAGGAAGATAAATGAAAAATTTCTATTAAAGTTAAAGTTTATACTTTTCGCGAAGTTTCTTTTTGTCACAGTCTGGTTTTAATAAACTTTTGATTGGTTCGTAAGTTTTGCGATGCAAATCACAGATTCCGTGATGAAAAATAGCGGTTAAGTGGGTATTGTTAGGATAACCTTTATTTCCAAACCAGTCATAAAGGGGGTATTTTTTATGCAATTTTTGCATGAGGGTATCACGAGTTACTTTTGCAATAATAGAAGCAGCGGCAATGTTAATTGACCGCCGATCACCACCAATCACACTTACCGTTTTAACTCCTTCCGCCACTATTTTTTCTTTACCATCTACCAAGCACAAACTAGGCTTATTTTTCAAGTTTAAAATAGTTTCTACCATGGCTTCTTTGGTGGCTCCAAGTGGATTTTTAATTTCCACCTCCCGAACATCTTTGGCAACTACATTATATTCTAATGCTTCATTTTTTACTATTCGATAAGCCCTCTTTCTTTGACTAGGACTAAGTATCTTGGAATCCTGAATTAAAGGATTTTGATAACCAGTGGGAAGGATAACCGAAGCCACTATTATTGGTCCAGCTAAAGCTCCTCGTCCGGCTTCATCAACCCCCGCAATTAAGGGATAATTCTTTCACAATCTCAACTCCAAATCTAAACTTTTTTTTGGCATTTTATTTTTTCCACCACTAAAATTTTCTAATGCTGTTAATTAATTTTTGAGTAGGGCAACTAAAAACTACCCTACTTTTAGCAGTATGAACCAAAAAAAAGTATTATCAGATAATGGGTGTAAAAGACCGTAAAATTGACTATAATTCTAAAACTGAACTGAAAAAATTCTAATTAACTTTTTTTAATGTTTTTCTTGCTTTTTCTTCTTTCATCTTCAAACAGCAATAATGATTATGATAATTGCGGATAGTAAGCAAACTAATCAAAACTAAACCACTCTTTCTTCATTGAGTAGGTTCAATGACATTATGCTGATACCTTGCTTCAGTTCCTCATCGAGTTCTTGTATAAAAAGTATCATTTTCATAAAGTTTCTATTCTTGTTCAGGAAGTGGTTTAAAAACACAACCAATTATCTCATCTTTAAATCAACATCGAACAGTCGGAAACCTCCGCATCAATATTTCTGCCATTTTTATGCACATCAACTTGAATATAAATTAGAGATAGATAAATAAGAACCCGTTTTCAACAATTTTTTGTTACTTCTTACTAACCAAATATTATTTTATAAACTTTGACTGAAGACTTAATTATTAATCAAGAATTAGGGAGTCCGCGGAAACTCCCTTTTTCTTTTTTTTGTTAGATATTCATCTTTTTTAATTCCTCGATAATCTTTTGGTCAATTTGTTCCAATTTCCTATTATAAAAAGAAACGGCTCGAAAATAAAACCAAGTAAAAAGAAAAGCAAGTAAAAAAATAGAAAGAGAGAACAGAGAAAAAAAGAATGAATATTGATTAAAATCTACTTTTCTAATAATCATTCCCACCAGCGAAAATAAAACATTGGACATACAGAAACTAATCATCGACAAACAAAATCTTTTTCAAATCGCTAAAAGTTCTCTTCTTCTTTTCCCCTTTCAATAAACCCTTTTCTGAAATAAATCAACTAATTCGTTACTGCTTAACTCACTTTTCAATAACTTTTCAACTTTTATTTCTTGCAAAAACTTAGAGGCAGAGAGCAACCTTTTTTAGCATGAGCAGACAGGTTGCTTGTTCCGCTTATAGCCGCCATTGCTCCCATCCCAATCAATTCCCCACCAAAATTAGCAGCTTCATCATCTCCCATAGCATTAGCACCTACTGCAATTCCCGTTCCCGCTATAGCAGTCCCTACTGCCACGCTTACCCCTGCTGGTGGACAAACAAAAGTGAGAAGTGCTATACCTATTCCAGTACCATTTCTTGCTGCAGTTCTTGATTGCTCATTACCCGATCCATACTGAGAACCATGCAACACTCTATCTTGGTATTCGGCTTCAGTAAGTAATTCTGATTCCTCACTTGACTCGTAAGTTTCCATAAACTCTTCATAAGAAGGAATTTTATATTCATCTTTTAACTCCTGAACTGTTTCAAACGCTTTTTTATTTTCAATAAGTATTTTGTTATTTCCTGTCATAGTTTTTTTAATATTTTTTTTGCTATTCTCTTGCCTCAAATAGCGTGGCCTAGATTTATTATTGGTTCTAGTTCCAAACCTTACCTATTTATTTAAATAAGCCAAGTAAGGGATTTTCTTTTTTTACTTATTTAGAGTTCACTAGGGACTTACATAGGCTGTCCGAAACTAAACTAACTCCCTCTTTTCAGAAAAAAAGATTTTTACTTATACCAGTTGCTTTTCTTTAAATTCTAACCATCGAACTGGTAAGAAATCCCAGAATTTTATATCTGTGAACTTATTTAGAAATAAATCCAATTAGAACTTAACTTTGCCCTGTTTTACTTCCGGTAAAGTTCATATACATTCTTGCTAGCCAAAATGGTTTACTATGAAAGTGTGAAGTCATTTTTTACTTTTTTTCTATCGCGAATAAAAAAAAGTGGGGGTGAATAAGAACCCTCAACTTTACACAATTTCTAACTCATCTTTAATATCTTTTTATATAGAATACTTTATTGTTATATTATATAATTAATAATTTTATTATACAAGTTTTAGTTAATGATCCTTCATTTTTTTTAAAAAATAACATTATAAATTATAGGTAAAGTTTAAATACCTAAATTGTTGTTTGGCAAAGTATTAATTTTTCAAAAAATAATTAAGTATGGAAAATCTTTTTCTTCCCCACCTGAATACCCAAACTAATTCTAACCTCTCTTTCTCGTTTTTGACCATTCCCCAATTAATTGATTGAGCCATTAATAATAAACTAAATTACTTAGCGATTTCCGATTATTATCCTTATGAAATTATAGAATTTTTTCATTCCTGCAAGGCAAAAAAAATTAAACCAATTTGGGGAGTAAAAATTTTTCTGCAAGAAAATCCCCAAGGAAAAAAATATTTGGCAACTATTTATCCCCAAAACAGCAAAGGATACAAAGAGGTTCTCCAAAAATTATTTGCTCCAGAGGCTCCTAATGACCGAATTTTTTCTTTTGATAACCTTCTTTCTAATTTAAGTAAAAATTGTTTGATCATCTTTGAAGCCCAAAAGTTAGAAGAAATAAAATACTTTGCCGCCCAATGAATTTTAACTCGTTCTCCTCAAAAGGAAGTCAATTACGGAAATCTCTTCATTGGATTTAACTTTTTTCTCCTTTCTCCTACTCAAACTATTCCGCAGAACGTCATTCCTCTGCTGCTTCCATTCTTTGCAATAAAATGTTTAACTGCTGAAGAAACAAAATTGGTGGGTCTATGAAAAAAAACCAGTTTTAACCGTTATTTTTTTCCCATCGACACCCACAGCGAATTTCTTTCCTATCTAAATACTGATGATTATTTTCCGCACTGCACGGATGACAAAACTTTTTATCAATTATTGCTTATTCAATGGCAAACCTTTTTGGCTAAAATTAGCCTTAGTCCTTCCTTTCATAGTGAAAAAAAGAGCAGAACTAAGAAGGAAAATCCTCTGTTGCTCCTAAAAAGTAAGTGTCTTCGAAAATTAATCTCCTTAAAAAAAGAACCGGTAGAAAATTATCAAAAAACTTTGGAAAGAGAATTAGCGATTATCGAGAAACTTAACTATGCGGATTATTTTTTGGTGTTTAGCGAAGTGAATAACCATTTAAGAAAAGAAAACATTATGGTAGGACCAGGACGAGGAAGTGCCGTTTCTTCTTTAGTGACCTATTTATTGGGAATAACTAGCGTTGACCCATTAGAACATAAATTATTCTTTGAAAGATTTCTCAATGAAAAAAGAACAAACTTGCCGGATATCGATTTAGATGTAGAGAATCAAGAAGAAGTCTTTAATTACTTGCAAAAAAAATACCCCAAAAAGCAAGTAGCTCGTATCATCACTAAAAAAAAGATTGGTTGGAAAGTTGCCCTCCGCGAAACTGCTAAATTGTACAAATTAGGAGAAATAAAATTAAAAGAACTTATCTCTCTAACGGGAGAAAATCCTAATTTTAATGACCTAAAATTACAGCGTTGACAAACTAGTTATCCTAATTTATTCCAGTTGACTAGTAAAATCCAAAGTTTATATTATGATACCGGTATCCATCCGGCCGGAGTTATCATTAGTGAAAGTTCACTGGTTGGTTCAGTGCCCTTAAAGTCAGAAAAAGATTGTTTATTGACACTTTTTGAAGAGGATGAACTAGCCGGATTAGGATTAAAAAAATATGACTTTTTGAGTTTGCGGGAAACCCTTGGTTTTATTCGTGAAGTAAAGGAGATTCTAAAAGTTAATTTACCTAATTATCAAGAAATAGACTTGACTGACCAAAAAACTTGAGAATTATTAAAAAACTTTCTTTTAACCGGTATCTTTCAATTAGATACTCCTTCGGCTCGACTGCTCTTTAATCGGTTTCGCCCTGAGAATTTTGCTGAATTAGTGCTTTTCCTATCTCTCAATCGGCCTGGTACCAAAAAAAAGGTGGAAGAAATATCTCAAAAAAAAGACTCCAAGACTAGAATTAATTCTACTTCCCCGGTGATTAGGGAAATATTAACTGAAACCTATGGGTTTGTTATTTTTGAAGAACAAATAAGTCAAATTTTTGCCTATATTTATGAAGTTTCGTTTGCCGAAGCTGAAGTAAAAAGGAGAGAATTGGCTAAAAAGGGACTAGAAAAAGACTTTCTTAACCAAGTCCAAAAAAAATTGAATTTGTCAGAAAGTAAACTAATTTATCAACAAATTAATTCTTCGGTTGGTTACACTTTCAACAAGGCTCATGCAGTAGCTTATAGTTATTTGACTTATTATATTGCTTATTTAAAGGCCAACTTTTTTCCTGAATTGATTACCTATTTCCTTAACAAAAGAAAAGAAAAAGTGTTATCTTATCTTCAAGAAGCCTTTTTTTATGGATTTCAAATCAAAGAACCAGATCTTAACCATTCAGAAATAGAATGAATTAAGAAGGGTCAAGTCTTATTAATGGGATTTAGCAATTTAAAGGAATGTAAAGTTGAGTTTTTTCAAAACCTAATCGAGGAAAGAAAAAAAGGGGGAATTTATAAAAACTGGGAGGACTTAATTAACCGCACTATAAATTATTGAGAAAAGGTAGAAAGTAACACTTTTGAGGGGTGGGTAAAAGGTGGTGTGTTCCGAAGTTTAGGGATAGAGGATGATAATTTATTGAACCACCAGAAAGCAATTTTTCGCTATTTGTCAATCCGAAAAAAATTGACTACCCTTAATAATAGTTTACCATTTTTAGATTTAACAACCAGAGTTTCGGAAGAAAATAAGGTTGCTATTAATCAAAGAGAGTTTGAAAGTTTAGGATTATACATTAGTTATTTCTCGCGTTGAAAAGAACTAACTCAAAAGAAGCATAAAACATTATCAGAAGTCGAAGAAAATAAATTTTGTTCTCTCTCGGAGATTTTTCAAAAAATTGAGGAATATGATAATCAAAAAACCTTAGTAAATATTTATGCAGTTATTTATCAGATAGAAAAAAAAGACAAAGATAATTATACTCTTTTCCTACAAGACATCAGAAATTCTTTTAAATTAAATATCAGTACAGAATTTTACCTAACCCACCAAGAAAAATTAGTAATTCATAGTGAATTATTATTTACTCTGAGGATAGGAGTAAAGCAGGGAAAAATCAATTCTTTAATTTGTGAAAAAATAAGTTCTAATTTTTAAGGATTTTAAATTAAGGAACAGGCGGGGTAAATAAGCACTATAATGATAAATAACAAATTAACTAACGAATGAAGCAGCATGGGGACTAGCAAATTCCAGTTACTTTTTTTATAAACATAAATAAACCCAATTGCGGCTACTGAATATTGGAGAAAGAGTACCGGAATGTTTTCTCCTCAATGATAATGAGCCAGAATGAAAGCAAAAAAGGAGAAAAAATAAGTCAGGTGGTTTTTTTTACCAAAGAGGTTAAAAACGAAATACCGAAAAATACATTCTTCTACCACCGGAGCCAAAATACACATACCTATCAATATTCCCACTACCCCCCTAACTTTTCCGACCTTACTATCTGTAATAACCTTAATTAGAGTATTTATTTTGGCTGACTTATGCGGAAGATTGGTTGAAGAAATCAGCAACCACCAACCAAATTTAAGGATAAAGTGAAAAAGGACAAAAAAACCCAAAGAAAAAACCGCTTGTCGGAGGATTTGTTTTTTTTGCTGGCGAAGCGAATAATAAATCTTTTTCTTTTCCTGTTTTCAGACCCAACTAACTACTAGAAAACTGACCAGAGCATAGCGCAAGAAAAATTTACCTAAATACTTGTTTTTAACTCAGTTTTCTCATTCCATTATTTTTAATTAATTTTTCAGTTCATTATTCTCAAAAAGTCTGGCAAATGAAAATAAAACAAAACAACGAACAGCGAAAAGACAAAAACCACCGCCAGAACCAAAAACATTAATTTAATTCGAGAAATTTTCCTTTTCTTTATTAAATATTTTCCAAAAGAATAAGTGAAAAATGGTAATAAAATAATAACCAAAATATCCCCCATTAATGATTTGATTATGTTTCCTTCTCTCATTCAATTTTTAAATAAGTGGGGTAAGAATTGGCAATATTTTCTTATAAAGGATGGCAATTCCTAATTCATAAATGGTTAACAGTTCCATCTTTAAATCAGAACCAAAACCGATATCTTTGCTGGTTGTAAGTTATTTCCCATTTATAAACTTTTCTTTTGCCCTGATATTTAGTCGGTTCTAATCTCCATCCATTCAATTTTTCTAATATTTTCAAAACTAATTCATTCGTAATTCATTCGTAATTCATTCGTAATTCATTCGCGACCTGGCTTTTGCTGATAATGGTCGGTAATAGTAATCGCAATTATTTTATTCTTGTTGAAAATAAGTGCCGATTCATAAGTTCACTGCCATTCGTTATCATCTTTGCTGAAATACTTGTCAATTAACTTAAACAACTTTGGCATGGAGAGGAGATTTTTTTGGTTCCAAAATTACTTTTACTTGCAGAGGATCTAATAATTTGCTGGCATAATCTACTAACCTATCCAAGGTGAATTCCTCAATATGGCAAAACAAAATATCCTCAGTTTCGGCTTTGCTTATATCCATTTTTTCCGCTACTTGTTCGCGAGTTAATTTATTGTTTTGTTTATAACCCAAAATTTCTTGACAAATTTCAAACTTAGCAACTTGTAAAGGAGTAGGATTTTCTGGTAAAGCGTAATTTATTTCACTATTATTTTTTGGATCCTCGATTTCTTGTAAGTATTCTTTGAATGATTTTTGGGTTTTAGTCATAATATATTAGTTTTATTAGATCGTTATGAGCAATATGCTAAATTAGAAATTAGTCCTTATTATGAAAAACACAATAGGAGTTTTTAAAAGTGTTAGAGAGAAAAAAGAAATTTTA